AAAGGAATCCGAGATTCGTTTGAGCTTTAGGTGTGGCCCAAACATCCTGTGGCAAACGGACATACAGAGAGCACCAGTATTCTTGGGTAGATATTTTCCAAACAATGGTTGCAAAAGAACAGTTGTTCGTCTCGACTTTAGTCCTCGTGCAAAGTGGGTTTACGATACAGTTCTTCTGCTTTTACAATTCCGCTTGCTGTACAGTAAGGAAAATTTTTCCCATGTGGGCCTGGGCCCAAAAATTGTGCGCTCACCAACCACCCTTTACAATGCCGAGGTTCGAACAAAAGTTGACCAGCGCATGCCGATTTATGCGCAAAGTTAAAAACGATGGCAACCAAGAACTGCTGATAGCTAGCAGTTGGCTGTGTGTGCCAAGCCTCGAGATTTGGATCTAGTGGATCGATAAATTTTATGAGAAGCACCAAAGTGTGACCAGATTTAGCGTTTGAGGCTATATGGTTGGGGCCGTTTGCGGCTCCAGCACAGACTACTGCTCTTCCAAATATCTAAAATGTTGCAGGACTGTCATCTGTGTCTCCCTGTAAAGGTCTCTAGAATTACCGAAGTATACATGGGGATTGAAGCACGGGCAGGTAACCCGTGTGTAGGCGGGAAATCCACAGAGAGCGGTGAATGTGCTGGATTCTAGGACTCCTGCGTCGATGACACACTAAACAAACTTCTCAATTGAAATTGTGCTGGAAACGCCAGCATTGCTGGCTGACGGAGTCGCGTTTGCAGGCTTGGCCGCCTGCGGATCATCTAGCGGCGCTGTTTGACTGAAAACGCTAGTCGCCAAGAATGGTACGCCTCTCGTTACTTGTGAATTGTACTTGACCAGCGTACGCTTTGCCTGAAATACCTACCTCTTATTTAGGGATACTGCTTGAAAAGCTCTCGTTCATAATTAAGGTCTGATCTGCATTAATATGTATGCGCAGGCATGCCTGGGCATGTGGCTTCTACATTATTGCCTTTGCATCTTTTAAGGATCTGAAGTCAAGCATGCCCTATGAAACCGGCTGTACTGACATGGAAATATTATTCTGAGACGCGGAGGCACTGCAGAACTGCTTTGGTTTTTGATGCTCTGTAGAGACTTCGTCCGTAGTCTTATTCCCGACACCAGCGAAATTGTGTACTGCCGCAGGCTCTGCTTTTCTCTCTTGCATTGTTTTCCATTCCTGCATGAGTGGGAATAGGAACTCTTCAGCCGTGCTGCGCGCATTTAATACTCATGGGGAGGTACGAAAACGAGGGAGAATGTATTATAGTGAACGGAGAGATTCAGCGGGCAAAACTTAATTTCACCAGTTTCTACCCTTCTGGCTGTGTGCAATTAAGAATTACTGCAGAGTTGAGTATTCGGGTCATCTGTCCGCAATCGTGTTTTATAACAGAGTACCATTCGATACACTAGGAATCAAGGCTGTGTGCATGAACGCTAAATGTTGTGTGCAGTTAGTTATGAATACTTGGAGTGCCAAGAGTGTGCAGCCACGCGCACCCTAAGTGCCCTTCTCCCCTCGTGTGGGGAATTCAGTGAGGCGTTGGCAGGGAAGGGTGGGAGATAGTTGTACTGCACTTTTTAGCTTTCTGTTCTAGTTTTATTGACCTGGAGTCAATTATTTTGCTACAAAGGCTTTAAACAAAGCAAAATGCTAGGATTTCGGGATACGTGGGGCGATGCAGCTAGGATGCGGGCTCCTCCTCTGTCTTAGCACTCCAAGCACTCACACTTCGTTTCGCGCAGCAACTAGCACACAGGCATACTCGACGATATTAAGTATACTAAGCTATCGACTCGGTAGCAAACAGCACAGAAGAACAGCCAAAGCAAAATGATCAATCCTTCACTGAATCTATTAAAATAAGTAGTGCAGTAGAAAGTGCGAAACTTTAGTTTTGCCCTCTGGTCGAACCGCTGGGAGGTTTCGACCAAATGCTAAAAACAGATAGGTCTTTACTAAGCCGGGGGGCATACACAAGGGATCACAAATATTGGGTTGTCCTCAGGCAAAACGTAATGACACAGGGAAATACAATGCTTTACTTTTAATCCAATGGATCTAGGGCTATGGTAGAGAGATGAACTACAAAAATGCGTGGCAAAAGGTTTTTTCACGCCTTGAAATGACTACGCCAAGAAGCTTACATATTATGCCTGCTTTTATAGTTTGTATGCTTCGTAGGGGCCTAGTTCCACAATATAAGGATGCATGCTGTGTGCTTATGCATAATTCTGCTGTTCAAGGACGCGATTATTGCTGAAAGGAAATGCTTTTTGCATATTTGCTGCTTTTACCTGCCTCAGGCAGGGGACCCTATGGGTTCAGAGCAAGGCAGGCCTCTGTATGAGGACACCGCACCAGAGTTCTACTAGGGCGTTGATTGTCACTGGCCGTGCGCTCTTGTTTGAATAATGCGCTTTCGGAGGCCCCTAGCTTAGGATGTCCATCTACCATCCTTGCATCTAGTTGCTTTAATAGGTAACAGCTATAAGGTCTGAAGTGTGTTCTTCCATGGGGCCACACGGCGATCAGCCACAAAACCGTACTAAAACTTAAAACAATGCTTTAAATGACTCGTTAAAAGACTTTTCTTCTCTGTCATCTTAATGCAACGGAAAATTGGCATGTGGAGGGGCAGAACGAATGAAGTGTAAGTTGCTGCACCCCTCGAGCATGCGAAGCCAGCTGCACATGCAAAGCGACATCCAGAGTTCATACTTATGCTACGGCGCTGGCCATACTCTACCAAAAATAGGATATGTGAGTAAACACAACAATGACGAAGTATTCAGTCATGCTTTGAAAGGTATTACTAGTATAGTAGCAGCTGCCGAACTGTGGTGTGGCTCGCTACAGCTTCCTTATGTACCCATCAAGTGTAGCGCTACGAGATCCATAAACCACCAAAAGGCCGCACCGTGAGCTGTTAGACCAAGTGAGCCATGCAAAACCATTATATTCTCATTTTAGTGCATGAAATAGTTTACTGGTAGGAATGAGCACAAATTAATCATCTAGTGGATCAAAGCTTTGATTGTTTAATGTGATATATATTAGAGAAAAGGAAAAAGAGTACACTAGTATTAAGGCCTATGGTGCTGGGCATCATTTGAAGCAAAGACATATGGCATTTCATGATAAAACACAGATATAGAACATGGAATTATGGGGGGACGCCTGACAGAGCTTGTTTAGCACCATTGGTGCCGTTCATAGCCCCATTGTGCTATAGACTTAGGAATGCGCTTCTAGCTCATGTTTTCTCCCGGAGGTCTATAGAGGGTTTGTTAGTATCGGAGTGGGTGGTTTTTAAATCGCATGCCATCTTTTTATGGTGCTGGTCACCAGTAGCATGTTGAACTACTCACTTGGGTGATGATATCCTCGTGGATTATACCTCCAAGGTTGATACTTTGTCTATTTCGTTACCTAGCGTGGAGTTTCAATGAACTTATTGTATTAGGCTGGAACGATTCGGGAAGCATACACAGAGGTAGCACGTCTACCCGTCAATAGCCATTTTAGAGTAAGCCCCCTGCGTACCTGCTAAACTGTTGGCATCTGTGCTTGCCGCTACATAGATATGCGTTTTTTCAGTGTAAAATATTTTATCAACTGTTTGTGGCATCATCACCATATGCAAGCTTGCAGAAGTGGGTGGCCTGCACCCCTGTATTTCTGCTTTGTTAGAGACAATGAAAATACGGTTTTAGCTCATTTGTAGACTATAGAGGCTCTAATTTGCTAAACTTACACGCCTGAAAGCCTTTCTCAGACTTACATTTTACAGGTTCCACAGCACCTGGACATGGATAAGCTTTCCGAAGTTAAGCGAAAGATAGTTGCCACTCCAGAGCAGCCCTTCATTGTCTACTGGTCATCCACACGCTAGCCATTGAGCACAAAAGAATATCAGAAGTTAAAGCATGGTATAGTCAGCCTGCCAATCTGTCAATGGGCGCGAATAAACCAGGCTCTAATGGTAGGTAAGATGATGCTGAATAGCTAGCAAACGTATTCCTACACTCTCAATGCCTTCCTCGAGGTAGAGCAATAATCTTAGCAAGCTCTACAACATCTGCCATAGAGGGCAGTTTAGGCTGGGGTAGAGAGTGTCCTGCTTGTTGCAGCAAACGGACACTGCGGTGGTAGGTGAGCAGAAGTGTTACAGCGGCAGGATAAGGCTGAATATGCAAAAGACAGCGGGTCAGTGAAGCTTGATACTGGACGACGGAATGAGCAGGAACGAAATATGAAGAGGACAAAATGACCTACAAGACTGCTTGGTCTTGAATTCCGATCCCCAACAAAGGAACGGTAGGGAATTTGAGCCATCGCCACTAAGGCAGGCCTCGGAAGGATAGACTGCACCATTGTAATCCATTTAAGAAGAGAATCATGCCACCATGCGCAACTGCAAGTCTTATTTGCTTTAGTCTCAGGTGACCTATATGCTACACGGTCGTACTACAGGCGTTCGGGGGGCTGGTGCATGCGATTAGAAAAAAATGGATTATGCCTCGACAAACTACGCGGAGCAGACGCTTAAAAAACGTTGTGCAAGGTGAACCGCTGACAAACCGTTAAAGACGTAGCAGGTGTATCTATGTAACTGGAGGCATGGGAACCTTGGGGGCGGATTCCCAGAGCCCCGCTGCTTTATTGGAACCAGGGAAACCTCGATTCCCGCCGCACGATTTTTAGAAATTTAGCACACTGAGCTTACCAAAATGTTCGATATACATATTTTGTGGCTAGAATAGGATCCGAGTAGGCGGAATGTTTATTCCGTCGAAGGCCATGCAATGGCCAGCCGACCATAGGCCGGAGGAGACATTGAAGACCTCAGGACAGGCGCAAGGTTGTTTATCGTCTTAGCTGGTCTACATGCAGAGCTCATGAAGAACGCCAAAGGACTATCGATATGAATACTCACGAGGGTGCCCTGAAGTCTCTGTCGCGTTTTATCCCACGGGGTCGCTCTCGATGACTCAGGAAAAGTGGGTTCACTTTCAAGGGGAAGCAGGAGATGTTGCTGCCCACATAACAGAAGAGCACCATCAAGAGCAAGAAGCTAACCGCGCAGCCGCTGCACTGATTAATGAATATAGACAACATGACGGCCCCATAACAGCAGAGCAAAAGAAGGCTCTAATTGCCAAGGGATACAAAGAGAAGCTCAGATATCGTGAGAAAAGTCTCCTTCTAAAAGAGCCAAAGCCAGTTTCCCTAGGAAATGCACTCAAGGGGCAAATCCATCTCTCGAGAAGGGAAGTGTTCAGACGGAAACTCTTTCCCATTCGGTTTGAAGAGTCTGCCAGAAACGTAGAAGAGGTACAGAAGCTCTTGATGCAGAGGCAACCTGTTGGCCAACTTGTTATATCCATTGCATACCTGGCAATGCTGTTGCTGTTTCTCTCGTATGCCGTGGAAATAACCAATTTATATGAAGCAGCAGATGGCATCGTGGCCCCAATAAAGTCGGCGAGAGCACCAACACCTTCGGATTTTAACACAGTTAGCTTTGAAGTGGCAAAAGCTGAGCAAGAGTCACCGCGTTCGATATCATCAGCCGTTGATCTCGAGTTGGTTCAGCCTTTGGATTTCTCCTTGCTAGCAAACAAAGGCGACGTTGCTTCCTGGCTCCTCTACGGCTTTGTTCCCCTTCTTTTTGGACCGTCACCCCAGAGCAGCGACCTAGGTTCAGCTAAGGTCCTAGGAAAGTGCTTCAGACTCACATTTCGGCAGGTCTGTAAGCATATAGCCTGGCACAAGCAAGATTTCACCACTCACGCAGTCGGTGCGACGCAATGTGGTCAACCTATTCCGACGTTTACAGGGCGTTACCCGGTGTTTCCATGGAGCGTTCATTGTAAATTTTTGAGTGCTAGCTTATAGCTCCCTTCTACCGTCTGTCAGATATGCCACCTTGTGCTGGCGGCTGCTTCAGATTGAGCTACAAGCGGTCGACGGATTTGATTTGGGTTTTGAGGGGGTTTGGCCCTTGACTACGGCTAAGGCGAGTTCATCGATTGCAGCATCAAAGCTGCGTTCTAGCAATGTTCTCACCAACCAAAGTGGCTCCAGGTTTAAATACACGTATCCTTTTGTCGCGTCCGGCGAAGACAAAGCTTTTAATAAGAAAGGAGGGTACTATCAGGTCATATGTGAAGGTAAATAGTCGTTTACTCACAAGCTAGCCCGGTTTGAAGTATGCAACGCTATGGCTGAGACTAATGAAAGACCTTTGGGCAAGCGCTGCTGAGAGTGCTAAGCTTCACTGCTATTACCATGCATTTTTTGGTTGGTTACAGATTCCGTCCAAAAGGCTCAAGCTTCTCTGCAACAGGCCCAGCAGCATTCGCGATATCCACCGTGGTTTGTTCCCATGCCGGTGATAGCCGATCGCCGAACAATCTCAACAGTGGTTGACTTCTTCGCAGTAAACCCGGTTACCCAGACATTTTCTCATTGTTCAGTCCTCTTCGCCTTCACCAGCTCAGGTAAGGCGCACCGGAACCGCCAGGGACAAGCTGACAAGGGCTGGCTGTCTGCTTAGCAGTTTGTGTGAGCCACTACTGCATGGTTCCGTGTGTACAGGCACACTGCAAAGACCTCGTATTTGGGTTTCATCGTTGGCCGCATTCTCGTCGCAGTCTGACGGACTCGTGCGCTACATCGCACTTGGGCTTACGCTGACATTGCTGTTGCTTTATTTGATATGCGAGTACACCGAGGTTGAAAAGCTGGGATTCAAGGTGTGGGCGAAGGGGATCTGGTCCATTTTTCTGTTATTCCATCTTTTGGTACTGGTTGGTTTCCTCGCCTCATTTACTACTGTACAAGTTATTGCAACACTCGCCCCCGAAATTGGACAATCGCTAGGGGATGACGGGTATTACGATATCTCTGATGAGCCAACTGCAGCTAACGAAGCGGAATTTTTCCAGCTGCTCAGCAGCTACGCGTATTTATTCGATGCTAATGACGGCGCGCAGTATGCATTGACCGTTTTCGGGTCCCTTTCCGCGCTAACAGGGTGCATCTTGACAAGCAGGCTGCTTCCTGCTGTTGCAGGGATAGGGATGAAGTCCCTACTAATGACATTTCGCAAAGTGAAGAATTACCTGCTGGCGTGTACTTTTGGAATGCTCGCAATTCTTTTAATATTCGTTTCGCTCGGAAATATATCATTCGGTGAAGCAACTACTGCCTTCTGCGGCTACTACGAAAGGTAAGTTTCCATCCAATAACGCGAATCACCGGTTTCTGGAGCACGTTAGACTTAGCCCGTCATTGGACTGAGGTGGACCAACGTATTGAAACAGAGTGACAAGGAACACTGACCGATGCAGTAGTCCACCGTATTTTATTGAAAAACTCTGTGCTTTCTTGGTTTTTGCAGCCTGACAACATCGACATCCTTTCTGCTGGGTGGCACACTTGGAAATAGCGACGTGTACACAGTAGTCTCTGCCAAGCCTATTCTTGCTGGAATTTTCTTCGTATCACTGTTCCTAATATTCTCAGTATTTGGATTTACCATTTTAATTGCAGTGATGCTGAGGAAGTACGATCTATGCGCACAGTCCATTGAACAAAACGTAATGAAATACAAGCTCGACGAACAGGTATAGGAGCCCAAATCACCAGCGCGTCCTAACCCATTGCTCCTTTTACAGCGTGGCCCTTGGTGGTAGCGTCACGCAATAGCTCATGTGTGCACTGCTACCACTGGACTTGTGCTCCAGTGTGTGACGGGTAAAGCAACTGTATTTCAAGCCTCTGGATACCAGTGGGATATCCTTTGTGATGTGCTAAGGAACTCTTTCGAACACGGTACGAATGGCTGCGGCATACTGTTCCAAATATATGGAGACGATTTTGGAAAGCAGCTTGCTGGTGCCGAAAGGAGGAAAACCTGGCGCTGCTTTCTGAAATTGACGAGTTTGAAGATGATTGTAGAGAGACCAAGGAACTCAAAGAACTCGAAAAAAGGAAGAAGGGAATTTACAAGAAGAAAAGAGGAAAGAACTTCTACAGAAACGACAAGAGGAAAGATTCTCACTCATCTGCAGAGGAATACTACGACACTCCTCCCCAGTACCCCCCATGGGTTTGGCAGACGATTGGTATAGATGACCCGACCAACATATACGCATCACGAAATGGAGCGCAGGCACAAGATTTCTACGTTGATCCAACCAGCATGCGTAAGAATCCATTTATCTATCTTGATTTCAATGCTTTCGCATGAAAACTTGTAGAGCAGATTGCTAAACTGTATCCCGCCAGTGTCTCTGGGAAAGTATGCATGGAGCAGAGCTTACAGAGCACCATCTATCTTATCTGGGTGATCTATTTGGTGTGTTCATTGATGCGTTATTTCCCTTCTACAGCGGCATATTCGAAGGTATATGGTCACTTTAGCGGGTTTGATTTGACCGGAGCAGCCGGCCCAACGGATTGCTACTTCACGCCCAATATTGCAGGGGCTACGGTCCCAAAAGCCCCAGCTCCTTCTGTAGCTAAGGTAAAGAATGATATTTTTGGCCCGTAATAGAGCGTCCTGTACATCGCTTCAAGATGTTGACACGTACTTGTATATTACCTTTTTTACTTGCTCGTTTAGAATGATGCATTTAACATGTGCTTGCCTGATTTTTCAACCTGTTGACACATCAGTCGCTTTTGTTTTAATGGTCTGATGTTTCAGGTGTATCTCATGGTGAGGAATCAAGTGCAGGAAGACCATCAAGATGCTTGGAAAAAGCTCTTTATTGTAGCCTTCGTTGCTATTATCGTGGCTACTGTAAATATGCAGGTCAGTGCAGGGCTGTGCTGCACCGTCTACGCGACACAGCACAGACGCCTTGCGTGCCAGAAAGGATACTCCAGCAGTGCCTCCATTCATAAGCAATTTTGGAGACCAAGTTCTTTAATTACTCCTGAGTAGTTTTACATGGATGGTTGCCAAGTGCCCCAGTGAAAACTTTTTTCTGCAGCTCTCCGTGTACACGGCGTCGGATATGCGCGACATGGTTGCCCAGACTTTATCTACGACGGCTTTCCCCTTGGATCCTGTTAAGTTTACCCTCGCAGATTCGTCCCTAGGTGTGCCATGGCACCTCTTCCTTAAAGTAAACATATCTTCACCTCTATTTTAAGAGCTCATTAGTATGGTCCAACTTCCCAATTCGCAGCAGAGTCTACTCTTGGGTAAGCCTTGTAGGCTGCATGCCAAGTTGCGCCTTGTTGTCAGCTTGCTGCTCTTGCATTATGCATAAAGCGTGTCTTATGTTCCACAGGCCAGTCAAATTTGGAGGTTTCACTGAGTTATCCTGATCAGCAGCTCCTTGGTGTAGGCACGACCCGAGACCTTTACAGCTGGCTAGTGGGAGATCACGGATTAATGGCCTTTCTGGCTTCTCCTACGGAGCCATCCGTGTTCGATAAAGCCTTTCCGAAGCTCACACTGTCAGACGGTAAGCGTACCATCTTGCACTTGAGCTAACCCTCTACTCAAGCGAAGAATTTGTTCTGCGAATTAGCCTGGCCGTGCAACCGTTTTAAAATGGGCAATGCTATCTTGTCCGTAATGACTCTGTTCTATGAACTCAGGAAGCACATATCAGCAGCTCGTGCTTACTAATTGGAATGGCACAATCAGTACACGATCTGTTCGTGTAACATTAACCCTCCGTGAGGAGACGTCCTTCCCTACCAAGCTGGGGTTTACCTGTGAATCTCTTCAATGCGAGTATCAACCGCTATTCGACCAGAGCACATTTAGAGAGTTCCTAAAGGTTTTTGTGCAAGAGAATATCATTAGGGATGTAGTCTCAGAGGTGGCATTCCAAATAGTCCTGCTGAACCACAGTACTCGCAACACGCTCGTGGATGTGCACATTAAATTTCCAAGAAATGCAGGTGGTACTTTCTCACCAAATCTTTCTATTGAGGCTTTCAACGTAAGTTCATGCCCATGTACAAAAGCTGTAGAATTGGAAACAGCTTGTAAGATTGAAACTGAAGGCAAATACCCTAGGGCATCGTATCCAGAGGCATATGCACAGCAGTGTCCTAAAGTGTGATTGCCCTTGCCACTTCAGCTACAACCCTACTCCACCTGGGACTCGACGGCAGTGACGGCTGTTGCTCTTCAAGTGGCTACTGCTGCGCTTTTTTTGTTTTTCGGCTGTTCCTTTTTCGTGGAGCTCAAGCGCCTGTGGAGCACTCTGAAGGAGCAGCGCCAAGACTTTAGCTGTGGCTTGTGCTTGGGTGTTTTCTTCGTTGATGACCTCTTCAATGTGTTCGACCTCATCGGCTTCGGCGTCCTGGCCTGCTGTATCTTGTTGTGGGTGCTGCATGTGCTTGCGTCGCCACATTCGCAAACTTTTGATCTAATGGCGGACCTAGAAACAGCATCGGCAGCCGCGGCTGCGGGAGGTGCACAGGAGGCAGAAGCAGCTGCGGCTGCTGCTGTTCTTTTTGATGAGATCAGCGCTACCTCTCAGTTGCTTCGCACATACGCCCAGCTGGCAGCTGTTATCCTGGCTCTCGCATTTCTGCGCCTGTTAAGGATCGGCCGGAAACTCAAACGCATGACGCTCATGTTCTTTACTCTTGCTTCTGCAGCGGGAGAGGTGGTCCACATATTAATGGGAACCACACTCGTATTCCTTGGCTTTTCGTATGCGTGTTTCTTGTCTTTCGGCCGTCATGTAGAAAGACACTCAACCATCAAAAATTCGTGTATTTCCACATTCTTGCTGTCCATGGGCTACTTCCCACTGTCCGAGCTTTTCGAGGCTGATGCTGGTATGGCTGGTGCTTTTATTTTCCCGTATCTTTTTTTCATGGGCATAATTTGCTTCAGCCTTTTCCTGTGCGTTTTGCTCCGCTCACTGGCATATCGTTCGGCTGAGATTAAAGCAATGGAGAGACTTGGCAAGGTTGAGGAGCGTTCAGTATTGAGATCTCTGCAGCTATTCTTACAGGAACTGTGTTGCATCTTTCAACCGCCAGCGGACATGCAAGCGAATCAACAAGATTTTGAGCTCCCGCTACAGGAGGAAGAGACGGCATTTGGAAAGCGGACAGCGAGCGATCAGGAGGCTGATCTCATTTTGCTTGAGAAGATTGGGCAGGCAGAAAGAAGACGGCGAGAGAGGCCGATAAAGGTTGTGGAGCTGCCTCCAGACGTAGTCACCAGTGCGTTGTCTGACGAACAGTACGCTAACCTGCCAGAAGAAGCCCGTTTATTCGCTCAGACAGAAGTGGCTTCCTTTGTGGACCGGTTTCGGCTGATGGCAACGCAGCTCAGGCTTGGTAACGGAGACATAGTCACCCTGTTGCAAAAACTTGAGAATGAGGCATACACGGAATTATCGACGCTTGCTCGAGAGGTGGCGCAGCAAGAAGGCCATCTGCAGCATGAATTGTCAGTTTACACGTCGCGGATTGTTGAAGGACAGAAACGACTTACAGCATACATCAAGTTCCTCGAACAGGCGTTGCAAGACAGAGAAGACGAGCTCCAGCTCCAACAACAGGAGTTGAAGCTTCTGGAGACAAAATTTGAAGATCAGCAAGAAGCAGCTGAGCGGTACGGAAGGAAGCGATAATTGCACTCAGAACCTTGGGATGGGAGGACAGTTCTACACTACAGGAGTCTATCGCTCCCTGTTCTGATCGCTCAAGCCCCTAGCTTGCCACGAAATATCTCCTTCAGAGCGTGTCTCCGGACTTGTGATTGAGAGCACATGCCTGGTTCACAGCATGCAGTCCCGTTTACATTACGTCATGGCATCGACGGAGGGAGTAACTTTTCGAACGCAATTGCCTCCTGTATCACCTTTGAACGTTAGGAAGATTTGGTGTGAATGGGATTTGAGAGGCCTTTCCGGCTTGCATTCTTATGAAATGCAGCGCACTTTACACCACTAAAACTCACTATAAAAGGTTGGTCTCTAAATTATCGCACACAAGGGGTGTGTAAAAGCCCCTTATGAAGCCATGCCCAAAGCATATTCATGCCCTCTGGAGTCTAAATATCAAGCATACCCCGCGACCACTGTGTAAACAAGAGGTGAGAACTTGAGGCTTGGATTGCATATCGAAATTCCGCAGGCACCATTGGGACACGCAGGAAAGTGTTACGCCACGTAATTGTATTGAGTGGGCTGATCCTTGTCCCGCTCCAAAAATTCCCTGGCTATTAAGTCTTGAATTCTTTCCTTCAACAGCTTGGGTGGCGGCTGGAAAAAGTGCAGCTGGGCCATAACCTCTCCAACAAGTTGCTGATGCGACAAACTCTGCATTGGAAGGCAAGTGAAAAATAGTGTGGAGTCTTGGTAGAGCGCCAATTTTCTGTCATACTGTCACTTCAAGATTCCAGAGGAGCGACTCAGAATTAGTCAACGATCATCACCACTAAGGCAGAAAAGACTAACCTTGCGAGTCTTCATAATGCGCACGATGGCTGCATCGACAGTAATAGAGCGATCCTCCTCAACCCGGGCTGCAAAGCAAATTATTGGCAGTAAAAAATTAGTTCCTTCGGAATGGAGCACCAAATTACCCACGCCATGCATATTCGAACAATCTGATTCAGCGAAATAGACACGGTACTGTTAAGAGAATGCACCGAAAGCTCCGCATGGAGACGCCTCAGGTTGCTGGTAACAAGCCGAGATTAGGGCTGCGTCGCAGTTCACCTCGACATTGTGTTTCCTCTTGCACTGGAGTAGGTAGCTTGATCTTTCGGTGAAGACATGTAAAACTTTCGTTCACTTGAAATGTGTCATTTTCGTTCTAAGAAACGCAGAAACGGATGCAAGAGCTGTCATGCTGTACCACAAGCAGTGGCACCTCACATAAAAGGGTGCACTAAAAAATGTGCAGGCCTCTTGTATAATATCAGCAGAAGCTGCTTCATATATGGCTACATACATAGGCATGCTGATGGTACGACCTCCCATTACCACTCTGGCAGCAGGAGTCCCACCTTTCTAAGAATCTTGAAACGCCCGAGCATGAGAGAGCCAAGCAGCTTCTTGACTGTAGGTTCGTCCAGGCGGAGGTCTTCCACAAGCTGTTGCACCGTCAACAGAGGATCGCCGCTGGAGCTGCTGCTACTTTGAGTGCCATCCTGATGCCTATTGAATCTCAGCAGCAGAGTCGCCTGCATCGTGTTGCAGATGAGATCCTGACGCTTCTGGAGCTGTGCAGCAACGAGGGCAGTCCCTGAGCTCAAACAGCAGTCTGTTGCTGCATAAAAATGGGAAACGATATTCCAGGGGTAAAACTGATACGAGCCATTTCCGACTAAAGAAGAAAGAAGCATTGGGCTATAGATCACAAGCTATGGACACGGAGTAGACCTTGGCCTTGCCTAATGAATTAACCCATGTCAGTTTGCGGTGCTGCGTCTGGGAGGTGTAGAACTGCTCGAAGGCGCTGACGCATTGCGAAAGTTGGGGCGGCAGCCGCAGGTCAGGTGCTTCACTCAAGAGCACACCACAAGTACAAAAACTTGCGTAGCGGTTTGCGATAACGGACGCCAACATTTTAACAGGTTCCGCGTAGTATCCGCAATAACAATATACCAACCCAGTCTCAAGAACGCCGTATCCGCTTATTGTGAACAATCAGCTTGTCATGCTTTTTAATTCAAAGTCTTGCCTGGATACGTTGGCCAATGCGCAGTGCTCAGGGCCTGCACGGAGAACTCAACACTGCCAATCATCACTGTCTCCACTGTAGACGCAGAAGACGTATTCTTCACGCGCGTTGCAGCATCATCTGTCCTGGACTCTTCGTGATCGATGTGCTTCTTGCGCTGTTCGTCCAACTGCTGTTGTTGAAAAGACCGCATTAGCCCAGCGGCAACTTGCAGGTCATTGACCATCCCTTCCACCTTCGCGGTGAAGTGGGCACCGCACTTGAGGCGCAGCTTTGCTATCAGCAGCCGTTCTAGTTCAAGTGATGCGGATGTTTCATGTAAGAGCCGGCGACCTAACTGGGTCCTGCGAGACATTAAATACATTATCCAAAGGATGGGCAGCTAAGGTTCGAAGCAAGGAGCTAAGGTGAACAAACAACAACCTGTGACGAATGTAACAGCTGCAGTAGGCCACGGGGTGCACCTGTACTGCTCGGCAAAGAGGTCTTTGTCTGTTACGTAGTTGAAGATTTCCACAACCTTCATGAGGCATTCTTCTATTTCGTCGTCACCCATTCGATCACCTGGCAAATCAAATCAGCCACCTAATAGAGGTGAGCTGCCTCAACACAACGCGACACAAAAAGAGTGCGTTCCACAGACCCAAAGAAAAGAGAAGACATCAAACGAATATAGCGGGGAATGATAAAGTAAATCACGGCTTGCAGACCTCCTGCCTTTCTCAAAATACGATCGCAGAACGAGGCCAATAGTTGAGCAAAAGGGGGCTGCAGCGATTGCGCGTTTACAAAACTCTCGAATGCTGAGCCATAGCAAATGCACATCGAACAGAAGCAAGAAAGACATACATCTAAAGAAACACATTCGTGCTATCATCACATTGACACTCGGTGTGGCTGAATAAATATTCTTCCACTCAAAGTCAAGTGCATGCACTAACCCTCTTTCAGTGCCTTTTGAAAGAGAGAATCAGCTTGCGGGGTCGGCCGCGTTGATGATCCAGCTGATATCTGAGAAGCACGCTGCTGCAGTCGGAAGCAGTCCAGAGTGATGCTCTTAAATCTGTCGTGCAAGTCCAATATACTCTCCACAAAACGATGCTCAGAGATTATGTCCTGTTGCCGCTGTTGTTGTGGCATCGTGGTGGTGTTGTTGCTGCTAGTCAAACCTTGCGCCCTTGATTGCTGCGTTTCCCGCAGTGTAGTAATCCGTTGTTGCACTAACTGAGGGGGAAACAAAGCAACGACCGAACTCAATGCTTAAAAGTATGTAGGCCTCGAGATGGCATTAATGCTTTTGTGGTGGAACCGTTACCACCCTTCACGGCAGTGCTGTAGCAATGTCAAAAAACTGCATGCGCGCGTGATGCGACTTTAGGCCCTACTTTTTCTCCACAGGCCGAGATGTACATCTTGAACTGTTTAGCCAACGCCTCAACCGCCCCATCCACGAGGGCAAATAGCTTGTGGGCCATTCTTAGTTCAGCTCGCCTCTCTCCAGAAAGCAGGAACGGAATGGCTGTGTCCTTTTCTAGAAGTTCTTGCTGATATTGCTGTAAGGTGCTTCTAACCACAACCCCCAGCAGCTTGCTGCTACTGCTGCTGTGAAGGTACCTCTCACATCTGCGCGCTTCAGCCTCCAGAGCCGCCTGATAAGGGCCATAATACGCGGAAGCGCAAGGTTACGAGCGTTTATCTAAAAGTAATATGCGTACGTCCCAATTCACATGTATACGAGTAAACCTTAAGTGGAAGTAGTAGAGAAGCCGAGGCATTTCTATGCTTGCAATATGCCTACCTCTGCAAGCTGAAGGTATTCCGCAAAGGTGCTACTTGCGATCCACTCTCTAGCCTTCCGGTCATAGAACTGCTTTGTAGAAGCCAGAAGCAGGTCCTCCAACTCCCGCTGGTACAGACCAAGGCCTTCGTCTTCAGGGTCGAGGCCAATATACATACAAACCAGCTGTGCCACACTTTCCTCATCAAGTGACTCTCCTGAACAAAAGCCACAATTCAAGAATATCAACCGGATCTCTTTTTTACACAAGACATGGGTGATAACAAATCTGCATACTGTATGGAGGTACTAAGATTCGAACTGAACTACTTTGCAGCACGTGAATTTCGAAAGAAAGGATCACACCTTCACGCTGTCGACGGATCGCGTCTTCAATGGCGGCAGACACGGGCTGTTTCACTCGTTCAAAAACCTGCAAGAAAATCGCTTCCCATGGGTGTAATGAGGGCAATACACCAAATGAGTCCCACACTGTTTATGGCTCAAACGACTGGCTGAAGTGTTCGGACAATACGCACGTGGTCTTTGAAAATAGCAATACCCCTCTTTATGAGAGGTGCCTCCATATACATTTTGACATAGTAACGATCCAGATAGGCAAAAAACTTCTGTAACCACTTCACTAACGTCCGATGGTTGTCCCACCGGCACAGCAGCTCTTCCAGGAGATCAGAGCCCCTCCGGTTCTCCAGCGACGGCAGGACCTAAATTAAAAAAAAGCAGCACAACCGCACTACTCTCAAACTGTAAGGCGGCCCACCGAGTCAACACTCTGAACATTTTCCTTTTGAAGAGGGCAAGGGGAATATGCAGGCAGCGCCAGGTAGTGCTGCCCAAATAATGGATGTGCAAATGCATGCGCGAACTATGCGACAAAAGCATTGAAGCTGAATACGTGTGTACTCAAGCCAGATCTCACTGTAGAATGCACGTAGCGAACGATGGAGTCACCGTAGAGCTGATAAAGATCCTGGGAGAAGTTATAGGGGGATCGCTGTGTGCACATTGTGTACACCATCCTGAAGCAACAGGCCGCCGAGAATGAACACTCAGCTACATTTGTGGGTAGGCCATTAGCTTTCCCGAACGACGGTATCACTTGGACAGAATTTCAAAGTGCTCAAGCATGGTTGCATACGGCCAAGCCTCCTAGGTGTTGACTATGAATGAGCTGTTAAGGTGAAGTAGATTTTTCTGTCGATAGTAACCGTACGTGTATATCGCAGCATAGTCCTTGTTAGACACTACACATACACGCTTGTTGGCCTGACTCCTCTCGGGCCTCTGCTCCAGAAACCGTTGGACCTTTTCAATCCCCTGGAGACGGAGTTTCGTCCAGCCCTCCTCTAAGGTTACCAGATCTCCGTGACCCTCCATGTTTACAGGCTGCAGTCTTCCAAAAGCTGTCCCTCGCTTTTCCAGTGTCTAGCATGCGGTGGACAGAAACAACAAAGGGTTTCGACGTGGCGGTGCTCTGCTTCCTTGCTACACTTGAAGGGCCCACCACAGCCTACAGCGCCAGACAGGCTGGTGAACTGCAGTCTACAGTACTGTCCACTCCTAGACCATCCATACGCCAGAATTAGCAAGCACAGTGAGCGGCGTCTCCTCTCTGAAGAGCAGTTGTCCTTATAATAGTGTCCGCATCCACAGTAGTCGTCATTAGGAGGGCATGTCACTGCGTAGGACTCGTCACTTCTCTTTAACCTGGCAGAAAGTATTTTCCCAGCATCGCTCACTTATACCAAGTTCTAACTGCTGGTACAATTAATTTTACACTTTGATGGAGGGAGATGATGCGTTGCGCATGCTGCATGCCCGACTCTTCACCAGAAGGTGAAGGGCTGTAGCTGATGTCGATATTTTTCTAAAAGCTATCGCAATAACTGGGGAATGAACATAGAAATCTTGAAACATAGGTGCATGGATTCAGTGGTATCACAGTTTGCCGACCCCTTATGTGGCTGGGAACGGCCACTGTGAACTTACTAGTGCCTATGTGTCTTCAGATGACATGCAAGCCTTTTCAATGTGGTACATAAAGCAGACATAACTAGTCCGATACATTAAGCAGCTAGCAAGGGAATGTAGCAAGTTCCACCAACCGTATGGGCAAGGATAAAAAAAGCAGTAATAGTTCACTGGGGGTTGTTTGCAGAGATGCTCAAGCACATAAGCAGTTCATGATATGTAAGAGTGCGTTGTTTAACTTATGTGCTCAAACGTAGCCTTTTGAATAGTCTGCTTCTCTTGAAATACTCAGTATCGAATGTGTGGTGTGCCTCGATTCCATAGCTATTAGCTGGTGGGAAGCGCTGGAATCCCCTCTTTCATTTCCTCTTGACCACCGCTTGACGCTCTACACACCTGTGCACAATATTGATGTGTATTGAACATTGACTACCGTAGCTTGTCACTCGTTCAACCACACTTCTAGCGCATTGCTTACCAACGATTACGGTTACACTACCCCAGATTTCTTACGTGTGTAGAGGGCTATGCTACTTGGGCACTTTTTCCTACACCCCTTAAGCTCCACGATTAGTAATGAGCTAGTATAGTAGAACTGACCTTTTCCGCCCGTTTGTATGTGCTATCTGTTATAGGACAGAGTTACCCCGATAGTACACGAATCCCTTGTATCACGCTCCATTTAGCAAGCTAGGCTACACATAAACATCTTCTCTTGCACTGGTTCTATCTAACCAAGAACGGGTAAAGAGCTGGGTAGCTGATTTGTCTCTTCGAATATCTTATTTACTGCAAAATACTGCAGGCTGTTGCTACAAGAAGACGTATGTTGTGTGCGTGTGCCTTATATGCTATGGACGACTAGCTGTGAGTAGTCGGGGTGGCTAGAGGGTGCAACTACGCGCACTTTAGCTTGCCCGCTTCCCTCTTGTCGACAACTCTCAGGCGCGTGGGAAGGGCGAAGGCGAGAGTTCCTTCGGAAACATTCAGTAGCCGTCTATTTGGTTTGCGTTGAGTCCGATGCGGGGCATCTCCCTCCAGAGATCTTTGGTGGAACAGTAGGGCTGGTCACACTGCATGATTTCATGTAGCTGCTCCCTGCTCATCCACTGGCTGTGGATGCACTACACTCTTAGGCCTCCTCATAACCGGTTACTGGTGTCGATAAAGTTTTTTGTTTATTCAATCATATGGTGCTCTTTGACAACCACGTGCGAACAAACCTCTGGCGATGGGGACTGAGAGTGGCGGAACGTCTGTTGGGGCGGCAAAAGTCAGCCTAAAAAAATGATGTTAATTGAGGTGCCCCACAGCTAGTAGGAAGGCTTGGTTTATCAGCCGATTAAATGTATGTGGAGGTGTCGATGAGGTGTGCCGAACTGAACATAGCAGCCGTAATGGTGGGCAAGGACTCGGAGATTTCATTGGCTGGTTGGATGTTTAGGTCGCTTTGTAGCCCTACACAGAGAGAAACGAGTACTTTTTTCGGCATGCTTGCTGGAGAGAGACGCACTTCAAAGGTGGCTCTATTAAGGTAGAGGACATCATCTGCTTGCACGGATTACTACAGTTCGAGCATTAATACATTGCGTACTCATCAGTTCTTGCACAGGTCAGCTCAACGGCATGCTGCGAAAAAATTGGGAAAGCCGAATCAGGGGCATCCCTTCGTGGATTGGTATTATCAGACAAATGGATTATCCGTTCGCAAAAGCCACGACGAGCATCAGCAACTATTGCAATGATTGACTACCTCGGGTTTACTCAAAGTGTAAAGTCAGTTGGTTGAACGATGGGCGCCACCAAAACAGGACCACTTACCGAACCTCAACAAGGTGAGATCCAGTCTTAATGCGGGGAGCTCAGCAGCGCAGTAAGAGAAGACGATTCTTAACATGCATTCCCTCTTGCTGACTCTGCCATTGAGCCTTTACAAATTATTTTATTGACCATTCATTCAAGAAATAACAGTGATGAGTGAATATCAAGAAGTTCTTGGATGTGCTATTTAATGACGAGCTCCCAGCAGGCTGCCCAGCTGCTCGTTGTATGGCGCATAATATAGAGCTGATCACTGGATGAGCCCCAGCTATGTTCCGCCGTTTCGCAAAGCTCCA